TTAACCTAATCTGACTGTAAAAATGAGAGATCTCAGTTAATAAAATACCCAATGTATATTTTATCAAATATCACAATAAAATATATTAAAGATTTCATGGTTTAATTTATTTCTATATTTTCATTAAACGTACATTTTTATGTCGATTTGTGTACAACAGCTTTAAAGTGCATTGAGTGCGCACCAGCTCTGCCAGTGAAATACGCTATTAATTTTATTGTTATTTGTTATTGTCATTCTCAGACTTCTAGTCTGAGTAAACATTTGTATTTAAATTATGGACTTGAATAATGATTGAATGTTTTTCACAAAAAGAATCAGCATTTTATACTCCTTTCATTTTATAATTTGATTTATTTATAGTCTTTTTTAAATTTAAATTTTATTTTATATATATATATATATATATATATGTTATAGAATTTTATATATACACTGCTCGATAATTTGTGAATTTAATTTTGAGTTTTGTTTCTGTTCAAATAACTAATATTTTACACACAATCTCAAGACGTAACTACTTGCACAAAACTAATTTGAAACAAAATTATTGTTAATAAGTATAAACAATAATATATTGTTAAAAACAAATCACGTGAAATAAATTGACAAAGAGATATTACGAACTGATTCTAGAGACATGGAACTGATTTCGGACTCGCACTTCTACGACATTCCGGTAAATACGACTTACTCATCGGTTCATATACCAACCAACGTGTACGATCTCACGCAAGATGTAGCCGAAGATATTGCGAGGACTGAACCGTTGGACAATATATTTCGTCAGAATTACGAATCCGATCCGGCATTGTCATGGCAATACTTTGGTACAGTCACTGGTATACTCCGACAATATCCTGCTATGCAATGGCGAACGAATCCTAAAGAAACCAACGATAATGATGACGATGATAATGATAATACAGTTGATAATAATAATAATAATAATGTTAGCAAAAATAATAACGGAGACATCGATGATGTTAATGATGATGACGACGACGGTGACGACGATGATGATTCTCCCGCTGATCAATACGACTGCAGAGTACGTAGTTGGTTCATCGAGGCGGCCACGTGCAGCAAGGATATGGTGATTCTAATGGACATCAGTGGCAGCATGACGGGTTTTGGAAAGACGATCGGTATGGGAGATTAGTTTTATTGAATGGAATTGGAAGTGTATAGCTAAAACTTTTATATCAATTAATCAAGTTTTATAGAAAATTTTAGAGCTTTAGATAAACAAGACGATGAAACAAAAAAATTTTCAATTTGATAAATTAATATTTGTTATTTTTAAATAGTTTATCGCGACTGTTAATTTTATAATTGAAAAGTAATTTAATATTGTTGAGAAGTGTGTATTAATCGCTTCGTCTTAATGAAATGATGATGTTATGACAGCAAAGACGACAGTGAACTCGATTCTGGACACCTTATCGAACAACGATTTCGTCACACTGCTAAAATATAATAACGGGACGACCGAATTCGTGCCGTGTTTTAAGGATATGCTGATTCAAGCCACTCCAGAAAATCTCGATACATTCAAAAAATCCATGAACGAGATTGATCCAGATAACGTCGCCAATCTCACGGAGGCCTTCACTAAAGCATTCAGTCTACTTAAAACTTATCGGGAGGAACGCGGTTGCGACTCACCGTGTAATCAGCTCATCATGCTTGTTACTGACGGTGTTCCTGGAGGGAAACTGGGGAATAATCTAAAGGAGGTTATATAAAATAATTATTTAATTGAATAAACTTTTAATGCACTTTCTTATATTCGAAACGTTGCGTGGCGACGAAACTATTAAGAATCTGCTAAGATAAAATGAAACTGAGTCTGTCCTCTCAATAAACGAGAATAAATTGAAATGAATACAAATAAATTCATAATATAATATATTATAGGACCGTACATGTGATAACACAAACTATAGAATCGAAGCCTTACACGGTCTAGCTGGATCTTAATGCTTGTATGATTCTTATGTGAATTTATATACTACGTATGTAGTCCCACAGAAACACGCGCCGAAAAATAAATTCATTTCGACATTTCCGAATTCGCGCTTCTGATTTTTCAAGTACATTTGAATCCATGAATACATTTGAATTCAACACGATGAATAGCTGTTTTATATTTTAATTCGTTTTAATAAAAAAAATAATATAACACACAGTACGACAAAAATCGATTTTTTTCCTCCTGAAAATCAAAGAGATTCTGAAAGTAGATGTAAAAAAAAAATACCTGTGTCTTGGCGTTTTACCAGATCAAGTCATTGACCTTTTTTATGCAGTTTTTTATCGTATTTGCTTCATATTGGCTTTTTATAATTGTTTTAAATTATATAATAATTTTTTAATAATAATAATTATTATTATACAAAAATTTGAAAATATATAAAAAAAATAATTCTCAGTTTTTTTTTATTTGGACTCATCGCATAATTTCATATACAAAAACGTCAATTATTTATTTTAAAAAATTATTATATAATTTAAAACAATTGTAAAAAGCCAATATGGAACAAATACGATAAATGGTTGCATATAAAACATCAACGATTTGATCTGGTAAAATGCCGAGACACAAGTATTTTTTTTTTTTACCTCTACTTTCAGAATCTCTTTAATTTTTTCATGAGAGGGAATGTGTGTTGTGCTGTGTAATACGAACATGAATACATCCATATATATATCGACGCCTGCTATGAAGAGTAACACGTTTCATTTGTCTTACGAAAAACAATATATTATATGATTACGCGAAAAGAAGCATGTTTCAATTTAATTTATTAAGAATATTATCACGTTTAGTCGCATTTAACGTTTAATCGCGAAAAGTAACATATTTCGCTTTATTCCGCGAAAACTAGTATTTGAACGTTTTATTACGAAGGGTAGCATGTTTCCCTTTAAACTAACACGTAATACTCCGTACATAGTCAAAGAAAAACTTCAAAATAAAATAATGAATTTTCAAGATGTATCAAACCTTTTCACTCGGTCAAAATAGCGAGCGTTAGAGAGATAAGCTTCTAACCCGACGGACAATTCATTGGTGTAAAGTATGATTTTGATCATAAACCGAGGGTGATGAAAATTTTAAAGAAAAATTTAACGGTACAAGAAGTTCGCGCTTATGAGCTTAAAAACTTATATAATCGAAAAATTTCTTTGGGTTTAAAGAAAAAAGAAGAGACCTTATAAATATGGTATCCCGAGGCCTTATTCCAAATGAATTTCACATATTCTACAGAAATGTTACCGCTGACTGATTTAGTTCTTCGTTCATTCGTTTAGTTATTCGTTCACCCGTTCATTCTTTCATTCATCTATATGTTCGTTCGTTTGTCCTTTCTTTCATCTAATCATCCATTTACTAATTCGTTCGTTAATGCATTCATTGATTCATTTGTTCTTGCTTTCTTTTGTCCATTCATACATTCGCTCATGGTTCCGTTTGTTCGTTCATTGAATTCTATCTTTATAACCTTATATATATGGACTCACAAATTTTAATTTTTTTTTTCCGTGTGTATGTTAGCTTGACATAGTAAAAACGTGGAAATAAAATTAAAATAATAAAAATAAAATTATATGACCAAAAAGCAGCAATAACAATGGAGTACGAGGGTCATCTGAAAAGTTTTGAGCCTAACATAGAAACAAGTAATTTTTCGGTCAAATTCAATTTTATTTTTCCACATAGTCTCCTTTTAAGGGGGTATTCTCATGTCAAGGTTAAAATTTTAAGCATATTTTAGGAATTTTTTTTATAAAGAAAATAAAACGCAATCTTTTTAATCTTTTTATATGTTATTACTTGCATCTTATAGTTTATAAAAAAATTTTTTTGGTCATAATTTATTAATATTTTGTGTAATGCTCTCTGTAGTCAAAGATGGTGCCTTGAAAAAAAGCATTGTCAGCGGTGCAAGTGATTTCAGCTCACACTGTCATCTGAAACAAAAAAGTAAAAAAGATTCTTAATCTGTATGCTTGTCGCTATCGCAGGTACCAGAATTGGTCATTTTTATAAAAAAAAAAAAAAAATAGCGGCCATTTGAAATTTTGAAGCAAAAAATCGCAATTTTTCGTGTTTATTGGTGGTCGAAAAAATAAGAAATTTTCATTTAAAAAAAGCGATTCTGGTACCTGCGAGAGCCAATCATATGTAGATTATGCTCAAAAAATTTCAGGCCAATCGGTTGGATAGTTTTTTATTAATCACCTGCACCGACCAAAAAAAAGTGGTTTCGAGAAAAACGCGTTTAAAGTTTTCTTAGTTGATTTTTCGAAGAAAAAATATACTTACACTAATCGGCTATGCCTGCTCCATACAATAGACCTTCAGCTTCCTTAAAAGCATCGTTTTCTTCTGCCCTAGCCGCCCTCAAAGCTGCTCTGGCCTCTTTTGAAGCCGCAGTGGTACAGTGCTCCGCCTTTGTTATGCGCGCTTCGTCGTGCGTCTCCATGAAATTTATAGCTTGCGGACCGATTGTCACACCCATAAGTTCCATTATTTTAATTGAAGGTTTAAAACCTTCATTAAAGATGCATGCTGCCGTAAGTGTGGCAATTTCTAATTTTTTTTTTCCAGTAAAAACGTGTTTGGGAACCAAATTCCACACGCAAGCGTTGAAAGATTCGTTGTTATTTTGAGTGTTTGCTCCCAAGCATCTTTCTAAAAGATCCTCGGACGATAAGTCTTCATAAATAGGCTTAATCAAAGCTGCAACTTCATCATCAAATGCTGGTGGATGTTTATAACTTGCCTCTTGATTTACTGTCTTGAGTTGCTGCCACTTGCACCAAGATTTCGGTCCCTTTGGGCAGTAAGAGTGTTGCGGATTTTCGTCCGTAGAAGTCATGTGATAAAATGTCGCCCACACAGCTTTTCTCATCATATTCTCCTAATGATATACTTTTAAAATATGTAAAAAAAAAAAGATTTTTTGACCCGACACATGAGAATACCCCCTTAAGTCGATACATTTTTTCCAGCGATGCTCCCACCCCTTTAATCCATTCAAATAATACTGAGCGTCTTGTTTTGCAAAATAGGCGTCTACGGATGCGATGACCTCCTCGTTCGATGAAAATTTCTGTCCTCCGAGCCAAACTTTGAGCCTAGAAAACAGAAAAAAGTCGCTGGGGGCTAGATCTGGTGAATACGGTGGATGGTCAATTAATTCGAACCGCAATTCGTGAATTTTTGCCATAGCGACCGCCGAAGTGTGAGACGGTGCGTTATCTTGATGGAACAGCACTTTTTTCTTTTTCAAATGCGGTCGTTTTTTCTCAATTTCTACCTTCAGCTTGTCAAGCAATGATGCGTAGTACGTCCCTATTATTGTTTTACCTTTTTCAAGATAGTCGATCAACACAATTCCATGACTGTCCCAAAAAACAGTCGCCATCACCTTTCCCGCCGATAAAACCGTCTTCGCTTTCTTCGGAGCAGGTTCATCCTTCGCAGTCCACTGTTTTGATTGTTCTTTCGTTTCAGGAGTGAAGTAGAGGACCCAAATTTCATCAACCGTTATTAATCGACGCAAAAAATCCGACTCGTTTCGCTTAAACCGCTCCAACAGGATCTTAGAAATGTTCATTTGAATGCGTTTTTGATCCAGAGTGAGCAAGCGCGACACCCAACGCGCGGTTAACTTACGTATGTGCCTAATTCTTCAGTCAATATATGACAAACACGTTCTTTTGATATACCAACAACCTCTGCTATCTCCCTAATCTTAATTCGACGGTTGTCCATTATCATTTGATGAATTTCTTCGATGTTATCGGTGGTGGTCGCAGTT